CTGGACCTTTACCTACTTAAGCCTGGGTAGTGCCCTCAGATCACACACAATAAGTGTGTCTCATAGCCTAGAACATTAAAGATCAGTTTCCAGAAATGAGTTCAAACAAACACACAACAACACGGGACGAAATGCTGTTAATGCCACCTGATTATCAAAATGCCAAATAACGGTGTTGTCCACGTTATGCCAACACACATACACACCTAATGAAAACCCACTAACATATTTATAAGCAGGAGAGAAACGTTTAAAAAGTTTGTGTAAAAAAAACTTGTTTTTTCTTTAATTTTTCGTCTCAAAAAGAAGACCAGTTAAATACAACGAAGGATAATATACACATCGTTGGTGGTGGCGAGGGGGGTAGGGTGGGTTGATTTAACCAAGAAAAAAAAACAATAATAATACTCAAACGATAAGATGTGTTTTGTTCTGCTTCAGGAGGAGAGTTTATCATTAGAAAAAGAAGATATGCTTGGCATAATAAACAGAGTAATAAGTAGTAATTAAATACATCTCAGTGAAGAGTTGAGTGTATGCGTAGGCGGATTATAATATATAGGGAACAAACGGGTAAGCAAACGTTAGACAGATAGATAGATAGTATCAACTTTTTTCCCTTTCCAATGTTCTATTAGCAAAGAAAGAAGAAAATGAAATAACCAAATTTCTGTAGGTAAGTATATATCGAATGAGTAAATATAGTAAATGGACAAATACGGGTGGGGAGGAGTCGTATCGTTGTAAAGTGTATCTATGATGGGGAATAAAGTTTTACACTCATTTGCACTCGAATAGTAATATTTCAGTAATCCTAACAAAATCGTGAACACCAACAAAACTTTGAAGTGTAAAGAAGGAAAGAAAACAGCATTTTTATCACACAACGACTTTGTGACAAATGCATCCTCATCTCCCAGTTTGATAAAAAGAGAATGGGTTATTCCATCACCTTTCGCCATCCCTCTGTTTGTGTGTGTGGCTTCTTTTCCCCTTTATTTAGCTTCTCTTTTATTTACTCTTTACAGTGACACAGAGAAAGAGGAACACGAGACTATTATGTGTAAACAATAATAATAATTCAAAATTAAAGCCTGTGATATGATATAATAACAAGATGAGATCGCTTTTAAGTACACACAGTCAGCTGGAAGAATAAAGCCATAGATAAAAGACAGTAAATAACTCGAAAAGGAAAACAAGTATTGACAGACTTCACTCATCATTAACAACAATAAGAATGATCAAGCATGGCGGATTCTACAGAAAGCATGGAAACCGCTAAGCCGAAAATGAGAAAAACACAACGGAGCATCTCAGTGTCTCTCTCTCTCTCTCTGTTGTATTTGTCACAAACAGGTAAAACAGTAACTACACGCTTTCAAAGTTAACACACATGCATATCTCCCCCCTCCCATACACACACACACACACAGGCACACTAATGAAGTGGAAATATCCATGATGTGCAAACTTCCCATACCGTTTTCGGCATAACAATACTATTAATAACAATAGCAATTGAGAATAGAAGCAAAGGAAGGCAAATTTAAATAAAAAGAGAAAGGGTACTTGTAATATTCTCACTTCAGGAGGAGGGAGCAGAGAAAACAGTAGACAAACTTTGAAAACAAAACGCGTAAATTATTGCTTACCAGCAGTGTAATATGCATACTGTAAGTATGTAAGAGAATAAATATAGGTATTACACAAGTCAAGAAAATTGTAATATAAATCTGTGCTTAAAGTAGAACCAAAAGCTTAGAAAAGCAGACACCACATATGATAACGCGACAAACTCATGAAATTGCAACCATTCCCATAAATGTATTCAAGAAATATATATATATATATGTGTGTATAGAACAATAAGTTCAAAAGTTCACACAGAAATGTGCAAAACAGACGCATGAATAGGAAGTATTTTTGAGCAATAACTTCATGAATTAACTTACAAATGGATGCTGTGCGCATACAAATATGGCAGTAATAGTAGTGGTAATAATAACAATAATACTCGAAGCAGTGTATGAAGTGCAGTAAGCTATCAGAAATACTCTTCAATTTATCACACTTACCGTCGACAAAGACTTTGTGCTATGTTAAAGACACGTGAATATATATATATATATATGAAGAAAAATGTTTTTAGATAAAAAAATTTTCTCCAGATGATATGAAATACGCATAAACAAAGTCGTCTCCCGCTTTATTGTTCTTTTATCACCGTTTTATGGAATCCGAGCAGGTAATTTAGCTGGGCTGCCTGTTGTATTTACACCTTGATACTGATATTTGGCTTTCTTTTCAGATGGTTTAAGTATCTGCATAAAGTATAAACAAACAAAAAAATAACGAATGATTTGATAAATGTGAATAAACACAATGTGGAGTCAACTGTGTCTCTCAAATACATACACACACACACACACACACCTGATTGACAGACTGAAAAACTTTACAAATAAGAGACATTATTAAGGTTGAGAATAACAGTATCCCCCCTAGTAGTGTAAACGTCTGCTTCATACTGGATAACGATGTAGCATTTTTGTCAATCAGGCACTATTTGAATTTAGTCAAAACAAAATTTTACACATTGAAAAGGCGAACACCAAAACATACAACATATACTGATTGATAAGTTAGCATATAACCTCACACAAATGCATCACTTTACGACAATACGATAAGAGGGAAGAGAAACCGAATGATATTAAAGTGAAATTAACAATCTGTGTGCAATGTCGATGATAATGCAAAAGTTAGTCAGCATGTGGAGTCTGCCGGAGAGTGGATACATTTGTGGCATTGAGAACCAATTTCGGAAATAGCTGAACGCTTTTAGCCAGCCACTGATTGTCATCATCTGAAAAACCTCACAGCTAGATAGTCTACGCCTCTCCATGTGGCTTAGATGAGTGTTGAGTTGACTAAATGTTTTGTTCTGACCGTTTTAACCTTTTTTCTTTTAATTCAGATAGAAATGCATATCCTAGGTATCTGTTTGTGAGGCTTATGACCGTTATCGATCAGCCCATCGGCATTATAGACCTAAACTCATTATTACTGACTACATTGCCTCACATAACAAAACAAAGTGAACAAAGGCATCACTGATTAAAAACCTGTGATCACTTTACAGCTGTATAACTGTATGGGGATAAGGTTAGCACAGATAAGAAGCAAAGTTTGAGAGAAGTCAGAAAATTGAATAGAAACGCATGAGATGTTGGTACCTTCCAAAAGAATGCAGAAATGCAATAATTACAAAATAGCACATCTTTGCATGTTACGTGCTAAATCAATTGTAAAAGGGATGGTAACACTATCTGGTTATCCAGAGTTGTTGCAAAGTGATTATCTCCCCCAAGAAAATATTGATACATGACATGATACGGGACAGTTCTGAGCCTTTCTCTACTAACCGCCTCGACGAAAAAACACTTACATCATGGCGTCCGAATCACGGTATACTCAAGACATTAGAAAAGGATTTACGTTTTTTCAAGATGCATACTCAAGAATTACACATATTCGAATTCGACACTTCGAAGCAATTAAATTGTAGTTCTACAGCTGACAACACATGATTCCACTAACTGGATCACCGGCTGTAAACACGTGTAACCAAGTGAAAATACCAATCGGTTGAAAGATGGAACAATGTTATGAGGAATTTGAATAAGAAACAAATCATATATACACACAGGGAAGGTACAAAGATGATATCAAAAAAATTGAACACTCATCCTTGACGGGTGACTCGATAGGCGACCGGTGAGAAAGGCGCAAGGTGGTTCTCTGTACACATGATGACATTTTAAAGGAATCAATCCCATCTCCTCTAATAATTGAAGCGCTAAAAATGCACTTTTACTCAAAGTTCTACATTGGAAACTCAGTCATTCAACCAATTCATTATATATTTAACGGGAGAGCCTCAACAGGAAATAATTACTCAGATTTTGCGAAGAGTATTCGGAAGGCTCTGTCTGTCACCAGGTTCTTATCAAAATAGTATTTCTTGCTGGCAAATCGATTCAAAAATGCCAAACTTAAATAAAACTCCACTCATTGGTACTGCCATAATAAAATCAAATAAAAACAGAGACGTGTAATATATCTCTTACAGATTACTCGTAGTTAACATCATCACTGTTGAAGGGTGGTGATTTAATTACTCAAAGACGACAATGTTTGTACGGTGGAAGCTGAATGGGTAAATCCCGAGAAACATCTGAACATTTTGAAACAAGACAATATTCGGAAGAAGCAGGCCACTTCAAAGTGAGTAAATCGAAATTTACACACTAGTAAAACACGTTTACAGAAAATATGAGTCCTATGAACACTTCATTATTACTCATTGTATTACTTTGTAAGGATCACATTCAAACAAAACCTGAACTTCTGGGTTGTATTATTGGTTTATAAATTCCGGATTAAATTAAACAAGAACACCTATTTAACAAATCTGAAAAGATAAGCAAAACACATCCAATAGTATAGAAAATAAGCATGTTGGTAATTCAGTGTTGTAGAAATTCATCACTATATCAGAGTTTGCTGCATTATTATGCAATACTAACCGATAAAGCAGTAACATATCACCACGTGCTTTTCTCTTAGTGGATTCACTTACAGTGTAATTATATAACATATTAAGGAAAAAACAACTATTCGTTCAATGTGTCCTACTCGACCATTGAAAATAGTCGAACAAATATCTTTTTTTCCGAACAACGAACCGCTATGTGTATATGCAGGCATACATTCTAAATCATGTGATCGAAAAAATATTATATATATATATATATATATATATATATATATATGTATATTCACTGTGTGAAAAATAGAGTAAGTAAATGTTTTAAACATGTGTATGCATGTAAAATGAAGAGATGATAAAAATACAAATAAGTGCAAATATGAATGCAAAACTGATTGTATCACTCTATGCGAAGCAAACAGAACTTGAATACTGACCGAAAATAAGTCAACACAATGAACAGTTCGATGAGAACCAAGACATATATACATATATATCGGAAATCAAGTGCTGAACAATTGTTTTGCCATAGAAACTCTTCTGCAGTACACATGATCCAACCGGATTGAAACTGTGAGTGCTTCAGGTTACGAGGGCAAAACACTGAGTAATCAGCCACTGGCCCATTGGTAACCAGCTCTCTAAGCAACTTGGCTTTAGATTCGATTCCTGATAGGGTCAGGGGTGCGTACCGTTGAAGAGTGGCAATACTAGAACGAAACAGCTGTCCAGCATTCCCTGTTTTTCAATGGTTCTCTAACAACTGATCTACCCTTGTGATTACAACTGAAATAAACAAGTAAGTAACATAAAATAAACAAGTAACGCAATGCATACCTGAAATGAGCAGGTTAAATTTTCATCGACAGACATCATACCACCGGCATTATCAAATTCTCCACAGTAATTAGGTGCAGAGAATAAAGTAACCAACTGACGACGACAGAAAAATTCAAAACCATCTTCAACTACTTGATGTGCTCGACAAATTAAATCCATATCATGTCGGTTAAGGAATTTGGTGACTACATCTGGACCAAATGTAAAACTGACGCCACGATCATTTTCAGCCCAACCATTAACATCCTTATCTGGATCCGACCATAGAATATCGCATAAAAGTCCTGGAAAAAGTGTAAGCGGATTAAGACATATGAGAAATAAAGTAAAATCATAAGGACTATTATAAAGTTAGTTTATGATCTCCTGTAAACAACATTATCACCCCGATATCAAAATCAAAGGGGTGGTATGCAAGTCAAGCTAGTCATACATTGACATCTGCAGAGATTCAAGTTTAGCAGGATAAGGAATGCTCTTTATCTTCATGACAAGCCAACCTCATTCGAATCATACCTATTTGCAAGGCACGGTACACCAGTCGAAATAACTGTAACGGACCTGGCATCTTAGGTTATTAGGGCTGACAGAGTAGATATAAAACGGTTGATACCGAGCGAATGCGAAAACCTAACTACATGAATGCGTTGAACACGTGTAGCAATGACTGAAATTCATCACTACAACAACAGTCATAAAACCACATAAAATTCTCACGCCTACAACTCAGTATATTTCTATGGTTCATTAAATTTGTTGTATTCAAATAGTGAGAAAGCAAAATCTTGATTATATGACAGTAATTTTGCATAGACAAATGAAATTACCTGTGTCAGGAATGTCTGATGGTCTCATTATGCGCCTTATTTGATCCATATTTTGCAAATCTGGAGATAATCCTGAAAAGGAGAAAAAAATCTGGTAACTAAACAGAATAATTATTAGAAATCTGACTAACTGATGTAATATAAAAGGTGGATTTAATCCCCCCTAAACACTGACAGTATTCTTCCGAATGAGTGGAAACCAACACAGATATGATAAGCCTAGTACTGCTCGCCCTCAACCCCACACTCCTACAGATACTATCTGCAGCAGTTGAGAGTAGGTTCGCATGTAGGTGTTAAAATGTGATAAAGATACTCGGATGAGCCACAACATTCGATTTGTCATTTAGAATCCAGGAAAATCTGCGTGTTGTCAGTGCCTTTACTGAATAAGACATTCATTGGTTGTAGTGAACTAGTGATTTCGGACACGTCAGTGATCTTTTCTCACTTGATAAGTGACTGTTTCACTTCATGTGAAGATGCACTAACTGTAGATATGCAGTGCGCCAATAAAGAGTGATACTCAATAACTGACGCTGAAATCTAGCCAACCATACACATCAATATTTCTTTACAAAATGCTATGCGGTGCATATCAAGATGCTGTTTGTTTGTTATTGTATTGTGCAGGAGTGTTTAGTGTTCGACAAGGGACATACTCACACTCAAAGCACTTCGATCAAAGATTCTTACACACCCGAGGCATTCAGTGCATACACTGTATTGCTCAAAAATTCCTTTCTGATTACACCTCGTCAGCCTAAAGAATACTACTGTCATTGTATAATCGATGAATGAATGAAGTTGAATGTTCGGTAAACACTTTGAACAGCCGTATCGATAACAGATCGAGAAGAAACGCAATTTGACAAGGTTTATTAATTTTGACTTTTAATTGCGAAACCCCATATTAGTGAAAAGCTAACAATAAGTTGACAGCTGAGGTATGTGAGACATTGTGCTGACAACTCCATTACCACATCTATAACAAAGTTGACTCCATTCTTGGGTGTACTGTTGGAAATATAAACAACCAACCAGCTTTTAGTCTTCCTGGGTGACACAATCAATTCTTAACCGTGAGTTATGGCCAATAGGAAATATTAAATTGCCAACTTTTTATTTCTCCTTGTTAGTATCCCTGAGTATATATAATTAGCCAACGTGACGTGCTGTTTTCTAAGGGATATAGTTATTATAAGATTAACGGAGTCAAACACCTGCTTCACATTAGAAAAACACACAGGAAATGTTAAGTGTCTGTGAGGATATTACCTGTGTTGTAAAGTCTAGTGGAGAATGGACATGTATCAACAGTCAAACCTGAAACCCGAATGCAGTTTCCAACACATAACTAGATAACGGATGATTAATGGCCACTGATGTCTTAACGCTTATTCAGACTAAAATATTTACTAATTTAGACTCAAATTCGTAAAAATGACATCTGAATGTCGCAGGTCAGTTTGGCAGGTATATCTCCCCTTCTGTTTCTTAATTTCGTTAGCTTTGGAGTCTTTTCTTTGTTCACTTTATTTGCAGTTCTTTTTTTGGCAACGACATATGTTAAAGGCAGTAAATGTAAATTATTTGAAAGTGAGCCAAAATTAAAAGAAGCCAACCGAAGAAATACGCTTACTATCAAGTTCAAACACCAAATTTAAAGAACTTACCACCATGACAGCAAAATATCTTAGAATCTACAATTGCAGCAATCGGCAGACAATTGAAACAATCAGTAAATGTTTTCCATAATCGAACACTGAAACGTCGTTTACCTGTAGAATAAAACATATGCTGTTGGTTAATGATAAACGCTTTTTGCATAACACACCAGTTATATTTATATTAGACATTAAAAACTGGCATCTTTTAGAGCTAACAAAACTTACACAGTGCACTCACAGTTCCCATGGCCTTTTGATTGAGACAGATGACGAAGGCCATTTACTTAAGTCTACAAAAGTACGCTATTTATGCATACAGTGAACATGGGCTCCAGAATCCGAACACACACAATGCTGTATGAAATTGTTTCGGTCGCCGGCAACCATGGAAACGTAGCTACACTTCATTGTGGATCAGACTTCACGTCAAAGGCTAGGAGGGTGGCATGTTAGGAAAACCTCCTGCTCCAGTCTAGGCATCCGGGTGGTAAACCAGTCCTCTCGCAAACTATGAGATTTTGTGTTGCTCATAATATACCAAGCTGTATTTTGATAAATATAAATGGTGAATATAAGTTTGTTATTGAACCATAGAACAATGTTTCAAAGTTATCGTTCGACAAAGTGAACGTGGATGCTGGACACAGAAACACAATCTCTTTACAAGATCTCGTAGTGTAGGAAGACTACGCATTTTCCCTTCAACTCAGTGGTTATCTTAAATGAAACTCTGAAATCGTCAATCGCAAAATCAACCTAATTATACTCCTTGATGCTATTTAAGGAATGGTGACTAGCAGTAGGATCGACATTTTACAATTCGCCCCAGTTGGATATGCCTGGAATCTCCAGTGAGTGATGGTGCCCCCATTGAGACTCGAACCCAGCACCCATTTAAACGCCAAAGTGTTATCCACTAGACCGTTCGGGGCACGACAGTAATCAAATAACACCAATGTTAATCCTCGGAAACTGTCGAAGCGTCCGTAATAGGAGTCGATAAATCAACAGAAGCTTAACATTTCGGCTTAGTCAATTAACGGGAAGAACAAAAATTGAACTTAACAAAATATTAATTATACCCCCCCCCCATCCATACTAATCCAAATGTCTTCTGTAAACAATTAGCACAATTAATACTTCATAAGCAACCATAAGAATGAAATATATGTACACAGATTTAAAACAGTTAGCCACCACGACCTTGATATCATGCAGGAAAGGTTCACTCGGCGTTTCACACACAGTTGGCATTACTACTCTCAAAACTACAATTAGAAGGAATGCTTGTCAAGTTGGAAAATAAAAACATGAGGGATAGTGTATAATGATTAGCCAAGTCTCAGACTAATATCCAACTAGATGATAGTGCGATTCGAGATTCTATGAGTACTGTCCGTCGAAATTGTCCATAACTCAGAGAGGGTCAGCATCCAATAGTGAAGGTTGAAAAATTCCCCCCGACACTGCGCCAACGAGCTGGACATACACAGACAAATTTCTCATTCTTCTTGAACAGATTTAGCTGTGAATATTAATCATTTACGAAATTGTTGTACGTTCTACTAAGACAAACTGATGCGTTAGTTAAAAAATAGGAAACCACTGAGAAAACAATGTGAAGTCATATGTCAAGAAAAGCTTACTTACATTCATCATAGAAGCCATAAATTCGATTGATTGCAGCACACTCATGATTACCGCGAAGAAGGAAGAAATTCTCTGGATGTTTTATTTTATATGCAAGTAGAAGACAAATAGTTTCTAAACTTTGTTTGCCTCTGTCAACATAATCTCCAAGGAACAAATAATTAGATTCTGGAGGGAAACCTCCGTATTCAAAAAGACGCAAAAGGTCTGTGTACTGACCATGGATATCACCTGGAAAGAAAGAAAGAAGAGTTCACAAGCAGTTTGAGGGATTATGACGAGAAGAATCTATCGAAATGCATACATAGGGAATCTGAAATTCATCCAAAACATAATAAAACTCACAAATATTAGTCGTAAACACGACTTTATTACAATACACCATAATTACCACTGCTAAATTAAACCTTTTCTAAACCCATTAATAACAAATAACCCGCGGAAGAATAAGACCAAAATCTGATTGCTAACTGTTTCCTAACTACAAACTCACATGATCAATGAATGCATTCTTCTACCTCCAAACTTACTGAAATAAATACAAACTCATTATATAGATTTTGCTTAGTTACATGAAATTGTCATTTTGCTAGTGTTTCTGGCCGGGAAATTGTGGAATTTACTGTAATTTGTTTACTTCCGAACACTGAATCTTGTTGACTGTTAATACCTATGACTAACTGTTTGGCATTTTGTGACTGTTTAACATTAACTAATATCTATAATTGTATATATTATTGGATTTACATGCTCAAGTTGGCCCAAGTCAGTGAGTCCATACTTTTGACATAATTTTCGTTAACTGTATGTGACAGTAATACTACTGCTACGGGTTTTGTTGTCGTAATTGCCTTATTTCTTGTTTCCATGATTCTTAAGGGAACTCCTCTGTAACTAACATATTTATGTAACAAATTCCTTCCCAAGTGTGAGGTTAGCCACAAGAGCCATCTTCACTGCAAAAGCATAAGGAAAAAGGTGGAGACACAAATCAACATTAGCGAATAGGCCAGCATTGAAAAGCACTGGAACAACGTGAAAGCAACTCGGAGTCAAACCTACGTGGAAGTTCTAGGCAAAAAGAAGAGACAGAACAAACAGTGGCTCACTGCGGACACACGGAGACTAATAGAAGATAGGATGTTGAAATAAATGATTATCCAATGCATCGACGAGCAGCAAAAACAGGAGTTGAATGCAAGCTACAATATACTGAACAAAAGAGTAAAGAAAGGTGCCAGGGAAGACAAAAGACAACATGACGAAGCTGTGGCAAGTGAGGCAGAACAAGCTGCAGGCAAAGGAATCCTCGCGACACTCTACCAAACAACTAGGTTCTTATCGGGGAAGAGATCAACACAAATTACGCCAGTGAAGGATGACAATGGGTATTCAACCACAATAGATGCGGAGCAAAGAAAACAGTAAACTGAAGACTTCAAAAGACTTCTAAATCGACCGTCATCTACAACACACCCAATAATATCAACAGCGGAAGCAGAACTACCAGTGGATAACAACCCTCTGACGAAAGCAGAAAACCTGAAGGTTATAAGAATGCTAAAACTGGAAAAGCAACAGGACCAGAAGGAACCCCAGCAGAAGCATTGAAAATGGACCCAGCGACATCAGCGGACTTGATGACACCATTACTGGAGAAGGTGTGTAAAGAAGGCAAGGTACCTGAGGACTAGAAAACAGGCTACCTATTCAAACTGCCAAAAAAGGGGACTTAAGTCAATGCAAGTACTGGCGCGGAATTATGCTCCTGTCCATCCTAGGCAAAACACTAAGCCGCATCATCCTGGAAAGAATCAAACACACCCTGAATGAAAAACTTCGGCCGGAACAAGCTGGATTCAGGAGGAACAAGTCATGTATTGATCAAATCGCCACACTACGGATCATCATTGAACAGAGCTTGGAATAGCAGTCAACTCTCTACCTCAAATTCATTGACTTTAAAAAAGCTTACAACAGCGTCGATCAAGAGGTGATGTGGAAACTACTTCGCTACTACGAAGTGCCACCAACAATTATACATCTCATCCAACAGTTGTACGATAACGCTGCATGCCAAATAATCCACAACGGGAAACTCACGGAATCCTTCGAAGTGAAGACGGAAATAAGACAAGTTGGTCGCCTACTATCTCCAACGATTTTGCTGATTGCGGCAGACTGGATAATGCGACAGACAGCGGGCAGAGAGGAAACAGGCATAAAATGGACCCACACAAAAAACTTGGAGGATCTGGATCGCCGATGATGTATTTCTGATTCCTCACAAACTAGAAGATATGCAAGTGAAAAGCAACAAGTCGGCAGAAGAAGCATCAAAGATAGGACTTAAGGTGTTCACCTGAAGTAGAAAAAAACAGAGATGATGAAGATTCCTGGCCAACAGCGACAGAAACAACAACAGACAACAATCAGCCAGCATATATGGGAGGAGCCTGCAAGAAGCAACCTCCTTTACCTACCTACCTGAGAAGCATTGTTTCAATTTCACGCGGGACTGACAAGGATATCAAAGTGAGGGTTGTGAAGGCAGGGCAAGCTTTCATTACTCTCAAATCTGTGTGGAGGTCAACACTCGGAACTCAGCATGAAAAACAAGATCCGGATTTTCAACTCCAATGGGAAGTCAGTTTTACTTACTATACAGATCAGAGAATTGGCGCTGCGTCACGAAGTCCACATCGAATAAACTAAAGACCTTCATCAATAGCTGTCTTCCCCCAATACTCCAGACCAGGTGGCCAGCCAGAAAAGATCAGCAACAGGGATCTCTGGCAATGAGCGAACCAACCCTGCAGGAACCAATTGTGCAACAAATAAGCAGGAAGAAATGGAGGTGGATTGGCCATACTCAGAAAAAAACCATCAAGTAACATCCCATGCCAGGCCAACGCTCGAGTGGAACCCGAATGGGAAGCATCGAGTTGGTCGTCAGTGCGAGGGTGACATGGAGGAGGCCATGTGAAGGGGTGAAGAAAGAATGTGGGCAGATGTGAAGCCAGGTGAAAACATTGGCAGATAACCGAACACAATGGAAAACTGCGACTGAAGCCCTATGTTCCTCTAGGAATTAAAGGAAACAATAATATAAATTACTACATAGGAAATAAGAACACAACTTTCGATATTTAGATTTCCATTTTAAAACAAACATTTCTCTACGTCCTACATTAAAAAAGTAACGTAAGTTTATAGGAAAACCCAACCCAACATTCATTTAAATTCCAATGTCCGGAATAGATTTATAATGTTCACGGCTAGAAGCCACACACTTATTGTGTGAAGGATGATGATACTATCCAGTTTCCTTTGCTGAAGTTGGCGGAATGGGACTGACACCTAGGACTCACTGAATGAAAGCCTAATGCTTCAGTCAATGAGCTACATCTTATGGGAGAAGCAAATCAAGAACGAAAGCGCAGATACAGATACAGATCTACCTGATACAGGTGCAAAACATATTAAAGCGTTTCAGAACCAATGAAGCAGGCTGTTCCACAACACTGAGGGGATTACACCGTTACATTTTGCTTTTTAGCTTACCATAACCATATCTATCCAACACCGTCATGATTATTCACGATTGTTGATGAGCAAAGTACATCCAATAAGTATATGAACTGAAATTGGTGCCATTCTCAACATTTTACTACGTTACTACAGTTACTATTATTATCCCCTTAGGTTCCGAGCAGAATAGAGGACCTTATCAATACATCATCCAACGCAGCCCTCAGTCTCCTTGGCTGTCTCTATGGCGTCCTGTAAGCTTTCATTTCCTCCTCCCACACGATCTCTTACGTGCCACCGGCAGACGCCCAGTTCATCGTTTTCAACTCGGATTCCACTCAAGGACATGGCATGTGGTGCAACTCCTTAGAGTATGACCGATCCATCTCCACTCTCTCACGTCTGCCGGGTTGGTTAGTCAGTCGCCATAGTTCCTTGTTACTTATCTTTTTTAGCCATCTGGTCTTCAGAATCAAGCGAAGGCAGTCGTTGATGAAAGTTTGTAGTCCGTCTGAAATGCTTTTCATGATACTCCAAGTCTATGAACCATATAGAAGCATCAAATTGACATGTGTTCAATAAGTCACCAGTGAATCGTGAATAGAAAACCCCAAAAAGCTTTCTTCAGTTCATCCTTAGGATGCTTCAACTTATGAGGCTAAAAATAGCACTGGTGGGATAGTGGGATCGCACTGACTCTGATGTCGTACAGACTACAGTACAGTTAATAAACAGCATCAAATATACCAGCATTCATAGTTAGACTCTTCTAAAAGAATCTTCTTAGCTATCATGATGCTAATTTGTTTGTTTTATCCATCCCCCTGTTTATTACGGCATTCTAATCCCTAATTTTAATTTTTTTAATTTTAATTTTATTAATTTGACCCTTGACCGGATATTATTCTGGAACTTCCCTATCCATTTTATATAAATACACGAATGTACAGCCTAGATGATGACTTCGTCGAAAAGAAAAAATTTTCTTCGCCGCAATTGTCTTCTTAAAAGAATATAAGTTAAGTCTAGGTATCGGATATACTTACTTACTTTACTTCGGCTATCTCCTACGGGAGGATGAGCCGGCTTCATGAACGTCTCGAATCATCGCTGCCCAGGCGCGGCAATTTGTAAGAGAGTTCATGATATCGTGTAAAGATACAACGCTATACGAATAATAACTTCCCACCAACTAAGTCAACATAAAAATTGAAATCAGCTACCATAAGACACTGTATAGCAAAGAATCATGAGAAAAATAAGTAGTATTCCTAAGGTCTAGACAAAGGTTAGGCATGTGTTATTTAGTACTGAACGAGAGACAATCTCTGCGTTGCTAATATATGCGCTGTCTTTCCTCAGAACAACTTCTACAGTGTCGCCACAGAAAGCGAGCAAGCCTGCATTGATGACTAGACATGCTGGTCCATCCCATACTCTTATCCCGAACAGACCACGTCTTATAAACTTAAAGTAGGATTAGGCGCCCCAAACAGTTACCAACCCAACGTTTCACATACAAAATGGCATCATGACAACACCAAAAGTTACCACAGGTGCTAATGATCTTCAATGTACAAATGTAAATTTTAGCCGTACTACTTCCACGACAACTCTAAGTTACTAATCACTCAAAAACCAGTTAAATATACACGCAGCCTGCAGTGAGTCGTGTTGTGAACTTTTCTTATAATACGTAT